CCCCCCCCCCCATTAATCTGTTTTTGGGTGGCGATAGCCTTAATATTCTTGCAGGTCCAGCTGATGAGGCATAGTTAGGCTGGATTGTAATCCTTTCCGTAATCCCTCTGCAGACAGCTGTTTATTTAGATACTCTATTTTTTCCCCCCTTGTTAAAATTACTTTTGATACTATGGGCTTTTGATTTATCTTTAAGAGGTTTCCAACTCAGAAACCATTAGTGTAACACGCTGAGGTTTATATTTATACGAACAGCTCTTTGTTGCTATGGGTACTATAGATTCTAGGGTTAGAAATCTTATATAACAAATGTAGTCAGTCTACTTAGCAGCTATTCTGTAGAGTCATAATACTATATCATGGCAATAGGTCCCTTAAGTACTAAGGAGGTGTTGCAGTAGAAAGTTCTTTGAATGCTGATATCTGAATTTTATTAATGATGACAATTTTCATAGTGCTTAACTGATTTCCCCACCCTCAGTCCCAGGGAAGAGGAGAGTTGGCTCCCAGGCTATAGACAAACTGCGAATTTGTTTGAAATTTGGATGATTCTCCATGAGAAGAGGGAGTGATAGGAAGTGACCAGATAATCCACTTTTGACACGTATCAGGTATTACTAAAGCATTTGAGAAACACCACGGATTATACCATGAACCGTCAGACCTACCAGTCAGGTTCAGGTACCCTGGTAATGGTCTTTCACAGAGCAGCAAAGTACATGGCAGATTGCAGTGTGTCTCTCACAGCTTGTTCAGTGTTTTTCAACTTGAGGACCACTCAGGCTAATAGCTCTCACAAGAGCTCTTCTCTGCTCCCCAAATCAACATTTTTTGAAAATATGTCAGATGCGTGTGTAGAAAGGAAATAGAGCTATAGACATACATTGAAATTAGCAAAATATTTTCTTTGGTACAACACTTCTCCTTTCCTCAGGTTATATGTTTATGATCAGTGTTCATGGAATGGTGTTGCCATGGTGCAAATAATGACTCCTGTGTGCCTGTCATACCCTGCAGGGGGCTGGGCGTTCATCATAGGTGTGGCTACAGCATAGCATTGTGAATATATAGAGCTCATTCAAGTAATCTGTATTTTAAAAGTACACATCTAAGTTTACTGATTTATATAACACCCACAAATGTGCATCGCCCAATCAGTTGTACAGTATAATTGTAAATCAGAAATTTCTGACAGCAAAAGTATTTTAAAGCGTTCTTTTCAAAAGGGAAAGATAATATTGATACCATGTCTAGCATTGTTCATAAAAGCACTCATATTCATCCTTTTGAAAAACTAATAGTGTTAATCTCAAACAATTTAATCTCTTTTGCTCAAGCCAATCATTGAATCTGCAGTCAGACCAGCAGCTAATCAGTCTCTGGTACTAGTACTATAGCTTAGAAGATGGTTCTGAACTCATACTCTAGGGCCTAGAGCAGAATGTGGTTCTATTTCTGGGTATGTTGAATAGCTTTCTTAGAACAATTTTGCTAAAGCTAAATGTTTAAAGGAGTAAACTGCTCTGCTGCTTGTTCTGTTTGGTTTTGGAAAATAGTATAAACCATATAAGGTGATTGATCTGTGGGATCAGAATAAAGGTTCTATCCTACATTGATTTTGTTAATGCACATTGTGGAAGTGAAGATGTAGTAAATATCTTAACATGGAAAAGAGTGAATAATTTTATTGCTCAGTACTTCTCTAAACATTTGCATTTCTTTGGTTACCATGTTTATGTATCCTGGAGAAGAAAAGTTTCTGAAATAATTGATGACTGGGTAGCTCCTAAAACTGCTAAGAGAAATACAGAATGTAGTTAGCCATTTGTGCTCATGGTTTGTTGAAATCTAAGTTAACCTCGATGATGCTGTACCACTGTCCAAAGAAAATGCCCTTACGTAGTCCTATCTTCTTAGAGCTTGCTTGACTTATTTCTTGTATATTTAATAAAAACCATCTCAAATGTTTCCTTGTGTAGTTTATGGATAATGGTTGAGTCTGTGTGTTAATTCAATCTCAGCAGCTAACTGGCTTGACCAGGACTCTAGACTGTCTCTCTGCTTCCTCTCCCATTGTTTTGAGGGCTGTCCCACAGGCTGGGCAAAGAAGATACTTTCCAAGACTGTTGGATTTTACATATTATTAAATTTAATTGGACAATTATTTTTGAGTAGTGTCATCCCATGTTTCTCTTATGGAATAATCTATGTTTTTCTATATGCTTGGTGTTAAAAGTAGTTTAGTCAGGCATTTTAAATGTGGAAGGCTTAACTAGCACTTGCAGTGGACATTAAGACAGGCATGCACTTTGAAAATTCAGTTGATTATAAAGGATTTGATTAATCCATGCCAATATTTCCCTCCATTTCTTATGTGTTCATGAATAAGCTATATGTTTATATTGGAAGAAAGCTAATAAGATTTGGTCAAGTCAATTTCAGGGACTTCCTAAAGTTTTATAGAATATTGTGATTTTAAATTGTACTAAAATCATGAGGAAGGTCAATCTGTGATTGTAGCCTGTATTTAAAAAAAATAACTTTCTTGCTATAGCTTGACATTTATTGTTAGGTAAGACATCTCTAGTTTAAACATAAGTTTTAAAATATTGATGGTATATTATGGTGCATACTGTGTCTTTGGTCTGGAGTTCCCAAACAGCACTAGTAATTTTTTTAAAGTATTCCCTAAGAAAATAAAAGTAGTTCAGCAACAGCAAGAAGAATGTGAAATCCGTTTTTTTGGTAATTATACAATTATTTAAAAACTTAAGTTTTGCCCAGCCGGGTGTGGCTCAGTGGTTGAGCATCGATCTAAGATCCAGCAGACTGAGGTTTGATTCCTGGTCAGGGCACATGCCCGGGTTGTGGGCTCGATCCCCAGTCAGGGGCGTGCAGGAGGCAGCCGATCAATGATGATTCTCTCATCATTGATGTTTCTATCTCTCTCTCTCTCCCTCTGAAATCAATAAAGATATATTTTTAAAAAACTACTTAAGTTTTGATGTGAGGAAATTTACTTTGTCTTTATGCAAGTGCCTATGACTCCCGGTTCATGTTTGTGATTACCAGTAAGAGCCATGGACGCACCTCATACGACATGGAGACACTGCTGTCTGTCAACCAGGTGGCTTTGACTCATTGTATAATCCTGTCTGTCGTGCTAATGACTGCTTTTGGTAGCTCAGTGTTGAAATGAAAGACAAGAAGACATGTTCAGGAACATTGGGTAAGGTGTAGGAGCGAGAGAATTGGAGATTGTTAATCTGTAGATAAGTACTTTATACAGTAAGTGTGAAAGGGATTAAATTCATTCGTGTAGTTTCTAGGATGAAAAATGGGCAGCTGTCTGAACCAAGAATTCCTTGTCTGAAAAAGTCCAAGCAAATGTTGGATAAACAGCTGTTGGGGATGGCTCAGTATTGGGGGGAGGTGACTAGATGATTCCTAGGGTCCCTCACATACATCTGTGAAGCAGAAAAAATGGGAGCGACTTTGGGAGGAATAAAGGAATAATTTTACCTTGGGTACATACACCAATTTGCACACTTAATAGTATGTTATATGCCACCCAATAGTTACAAATAGTAAAATGAGGTAAAAGTGTAGTAAATAATAAAAATACGCAACCAAATATTTTTCCCATACTCTTTTTTTCAGGGGAAATATACCAGAGCAGCCAGTTCATTTCTAAAAAGGAAAACTATAGAAATTTTTCTATCTCCTATAAGAGATGCAAGAGACACAATGAAATTTGTCAATAAAAGCCTTTAGGAATATCCGCACATACACATTTACATTCAAGTTGGTAACAATTGGTTTCACTTCAAATTATATTAAACTCAGATATCAGACATGGTCCTATATATGCTGTTAGAAATTCTTTTTTATCTAGATACAGATCTTGATAGTGAATCTCTTGATGACAGGTGTGCAGTTAGTTTGTCCCGGAAATCATGAAGATAATTATATTGCTGAAAAAAGAAAAGATGTGCTGAAATACATTGTAGAAAACTACCTCCCAGAGTAGTCCTAATGCTGGTAGGAATCAGAAGTCCGAAACTTTTGCTAAGAACAATTCCACATCCTTTGGGGTAAGCATTTATCTTCCAATAAAGAAGCATAAAGTGTGAAAACTATTGCTTTAAAAATCTCTAAAAATCAGAAGGTAGCTTGAAACACGAATGTTTTATAAATCTGTAAAAATCCTTTCTCCCTTCACTGGCAGGAGCAAATAAGACTAAAAATAGTCCATGAAGGCATTCTTTTTGCTAGTGTATCTTCCCCTGGGGGGAGGGCGTAAGTAGGGAGGAGAAGGCACTTTCTGTACCAATTCATTTTGGTATCTTCAAGAAAATCTATTTCTGAATTTATAGAAGGCCTATTTTTTCACTTTTTTAGGTAACAATCCATTTGGAATGCTCATAGTAGATAATATCACAAATCTTAAGCAAATTTTTAAAAAAAGTTTAAATTTATTTGGAGTTTTAATAGCTTCCTAGAGGATATGCTTCTCTGCCAATAATCTCATTTCATCTCATCACTGAGGAGTTGAAATTACTGCTAACGGGGGAAAACCTATTTGCAGAAGGTTGAGGTGATAAATTGACAGTCCATCCTAACAAGGGCTTAATTCCAAGATTAAAGATATAAAACATGTACATACATATATACATATATGCTTATGTTTGTGCATTTTGTTTTGTTTCAAAGAGAGACTTGAGAACATCTTGAATTTGCAGGATCATTTGATCTTAGTAATAAAGGGAGCTCTATTTTCAGAACCTGTGCAGTGAAGGGGATCCTGTATGGCCTGTTTTGTGAATGGCCTTATTTGAGCACTGGGAGTCAGGCTGCTTGGTGGATTTATCAGTTATAATAATTCACATCCATTATACTTGGTTAGACTTGCACCCTGGGAAGATGGACTGTCCAGCTCAGGGAGCCACCTAAAGGTCAGGATTCTTCAGTGCCTGCTCCTAATTGAGCTTTACAGAGCTACAAATAAAGTGAAATTAGTCTTTTCAGCAATATGGTTAATATAATATCCTTGGGCATTGCTACTGACTGCAGTGTTTTTGAAGTGTTAAAGGGAAGTCAATGTGGAAAACACCACTTTGATTACCCGCAGTGAAAGATAATGGCATTGCTTTATATTTTTTGTATTACGGTCATCTATCTATATTAAGTTTTTGGGTGATATAATAGGATCATTTCATTAGACCTTTTGGGTAAAAATCTACCCAAGAAACTACCAAGTTTATAGTAACCACCTCATTTTTCCAAGTGAGAGGATTCACTCCCAGAACGGAATGGGCAAAAACGGAACAGTTGTAGATCTTGGAAGAGTAAACCGGGAAGTTCAAATTTTTTCATTATTTTGTTTGCAGCACTGTGAACTTTTGTAGACACCCAGGTTATATTTTAAAGTAAATTTAAAAAAAATCAAAATATAAACAGGTGATATATGAATAATAGAATGCTTTGATTTTCATTGCTTTTTTGATAATATAGGGGTTCAGAACCAGCCACCCCAAGATGTGTGTCAGTGGTACATGGGTTATTTTGAGCTAAAGGCAACCAAGACCCTGTGGGCTCAAGAGAAACCTCTGCCACCCTCCTCCCCAACTATCTAGAGGGATCTGAATTAGGGGCCTTGCCTATAATAAGAGATTATTGGAGATAACCCACCTATATGGCAGGGCAAACTACTGATAACTGAACATGTGCTCTCCCTGCAATGCCTTCTGAAGCCAACGGCCTTTCCTCATCCCCAGCTCAGAATATCAAATATACATGTAATTTCCCATTTATCTCTGAATCTCTCCTGCATACGGAGCCTCTGACTCGTGTGTATGTGGCTCCCATGAGCACAGAGTTAAATTTCATTTTCTCCTGTCAATCTGTCCCATGTTGATTTGGTCATTCAACCAGCCAAAAAGAACCAGAGGAAGGAAGGAGACATTTGTTTCTTTTCCCACAGTGATGAATTACACTGTTTTTCTAACCATCTGCCACCTAATCACACCTGCACAAAAACAGTCAACCTCCTTACCTTTATGGTCTGTATTGCTCCAGATCCTCTTAGGTCTCTCAGGCTGTCTATGGCTTGCTGTGGTGATACTGTGTCAGACAGATATAGTAGGAGACAAGCGGCTACTAATAGAACATGATAGAAAAATAGTATATTATTAAGAAATTAATGATAGGGTAGAGTATTTTATATTTAATTAGATTTATGTTGGTACAGAAGACTAAGTTTGGTGTAATTGTTTGAAATGAATTAAAAGTCTGAGGCCTTACTATGTGTTTTTTTGACAGTTAAATTGTGATTTTAACAGATATTTTAAAATATGTTTTTATTGATTTCAGAGAGAGGAAGGAGGGGGAGAGAGAGAGAGAGAGAGAAACATCAATGACGAGAGAGTTGTCATTGATCGGCTGCCTCCTGCACGCCCCCGACTGGGGATGGAGCCCGCAACCCGGGCATGTGCCCTGACCCGGAATCGAACCTCGATCTCCTGGATCCTGGGTCGATGCTCAACTGCTGAGCCACGCCCAGTGGGGCTTAAATTATGATTTTAAGTGACTGGTTGAATTAAAGTTTAATACTGGCTTCATTTTTTTTACATAGCTTTTATTGAGTTATAATCCATATGTCGTATAAGTATATAATTTAAAGTATACAAGCCAGTGGCTTTCGGTGTATTCACAGATATGTGCAGCCATCACCAGTCAGTTGTAGGGCATTTTCATCGCCTCAGAAGGAAGCCCTGTAACCTTTTGTTATCATTCCCCCTACCACCCCCTGTCTTGCCCTAAGCAACCAATAATCTACTTTGGCTTTATACATTTGCCTATTCTAGACATTTTTTAATAAATGGAATCATATGTTGTCTTTTGTGACTAGCTTCTTTCACTTAGCATAATGTGTTCAAGACTCATACATATAGTGGCACGTGCCTTTTTATGGATGAATATTTCATTGTATGGATATACATTTTATTTTTCAACTGATGGACATTTGGGTTGTTTCCATTTGGGGTTCTTATGAATCATGATGCTATAAACGTTCATGTATAAGTTTTTGTGTGCACATAACATTTTAATTTATTTTGGGTATATACTGAGGAGTGGAATTGCTGGGTCGTGTGGTAACTGTATTTAACTGAGGAACTGCCAGACTGTTTTCCAACGCAGCTGCCCTATTTTACATTCCCACCAGCAATGTACGAGGGTTCCAATTTCTCCACATTCTAGCAAATGCTTATTTTCCCTTTTTATGGATAATAGCCATCCTAATGGGTGTTGTGTGGTATCTCATTGTGGCTTTGTTTTGCATTTCCCTGATGACTAGTGATGCTGAACATCTATCTTTTCATGTGCTTAGTGGTCATTTGTATAGTTTGTTTGGAGAAATATCTATTCAGATCTTTTCTCTTTTTAAAAATTGGATTGTCTTTTTATTGAGTTGTAAGAGTTCTTTGTATATTCTAGGTGAGTCCCTTATCAGATATATGGTTTGCAAATATTTTCCCCACTCTGGGGGTTGTCTTAATTTTGCTGGTGGTTCTCTGAAACACAAAAGTTTTTAATTTCCATACTGTCCAATACTAAAAGGAAAAACTGTTACTCCAGTGTGGCATTTTATTAACTGTTTTTTCCCCCTACTACATTTTTAAAAAAGTTTAAAGTTAACAGATGGTAATTAACTTTGGTTTTCATACTTATGTTACAGGTGGATATTATTTAGAAGTTACTGTTGGTATCATAACACCTGCATAGGAGTAACATTAGAAAACAAAACAAAACACAAGAATGCAGGTGCCAAGACTTGTAAATTATGTTTTACAGAATTCTCCAAAACAATGCTGAAAACACCTCCCACTCCCACCTCAGCTTCCTGGGGAACACCAAACTTAGGGCCTTAACTAAACGGACGGGTCGTAGCGGACTTATACTGTGCTTCGTTTCATTTTCATACCATGAGCATATGGCCCAGAAGCAGTTTAACTTCCAAGTTAAAAAATACTGAATAATGAAAACATATTTCTTACCAAGACAAGATCTCCCAACTCCTCCATAACAGCTGAAAGGAAAGTACAGTTTTGAGATTTGTATATTTTCATTCCATCCCAACAATTACAACTATAGCCTTGCTCTTTCTGCCATCTATTTCTAACTCTAGTGCCTAGCACAGTACCTTGCACACTGAAATAGGATTTTTGAATTGATAAAGAGCAAAGTGCTTATTTATTTGTTAGATATTCTGAACACCTCTAAGGGTCAAGTAGGCAAGGCCTTTTTAGTGACCTTTAAACTCCAGGATCTACATCTGAGAAGTGGAACTTGTTACTAAATAGATAGAAATCAGACTATTTTACCAGTTGCCATTGGATTATCTTCCTCTGTCTGAATAAAACCGTAGTGGTTACAGGACAAGTGCTGACCGTGTAATACCTCTTCATCTAAAATGAGTATAGAGGTAGTGTTTCATAGAAGTTTAGAGCCTGGGTTGAATCCTAGATCTGTCATTTATTAGGTGCATGAGCCTAAGCAAGTTATTTAGCTTCTCTGGGCCTCGGCCTTTTCACCTACAAGATGGTGACAGCAACAGTACCTACATCATAGTGAGGACTGAAAGAGGTAACATCTGGAAAGGGCTTAGAACAGAGCTTGGCACAGAAGTAAACTAATGTTAGCACTGTGAAGACATTAGCAATTCTGCATAACTGAACTCAGAAAAATGAAGATTAACCTTGAAAGCAACAAAACCATTCATTTTTATCATTTTCAAAGACCCTGACACATGTATTACACCTTCCTGACTTTCTTAGAGGGTACACTGGACCTAACTGGGTGCTGATGACTCATCCGGAACATCGGTTACTGTAGTGTATTGCAGATGAAGCTGAAGATGCATGTCTTGTGATAGGATGTGAGACAGAGGGCAGACAGGTACGGATCTCTGGAGAATTCATCAGCTGGCTTTCTACTCAGTGTCCAGAGGTAGCCTGCTTCAGAGACGAGGATCTACCATGAAAGGTAGAGAGAGAACACTGCAGTGGCTGTCTGCAAGATTACTACTACTCTACAGCTCTTGCTACCCCCCCTCATCTTCCCTCCTCTGACCGGCTGGTTGATTCCTATTCATCCTTCACAACCCAGCTCCAATTTCATTCCCCAAAATGCTTTGCACCCCGACAGAAGCCACCGCTGCCCTGTGTGCTGCCTCATACACATCTTGCGTAAGTTTTATTGCACTGACATGGTAGTGCTGTTAGCTGTGGGTTCCTTGAGGGCGGGGCTTGTGCTTCGCAGTGTATGTTCTGTATTCAGCTTGGGACATGGTGTTACGGGTTGAATTATGTCCCCAAAATGACATGTTGAAGTCCTAATCCCTAGTGCTGTGAATGTGACCTTATTTGGAAATGGGGTCTTTGCAGATGTAATCGAGTTAAGATGAGGTCATTAGAGTGGGCCCTAATCTAACATGACAGGTGTCCTTATAAGAGGAAATACCATGTGAAGGCACAAACACACAGGGAGAATTATATGATGACAGAGGCAGAGATTGCAGTGATGCAGCTGCAAGCCAAGAAATGTCAAGGATTGCCAGCCACCACCGAAAGCTAGGGAGATGCAAGGGAGGATTCTACTAGAGCCTTAGAGAGAGTATGGCTGTGGGTTTTGATTTTGAGCTGCTAGCCTCCAGAACTGGGGGAGAATAAATTTCTGTTGTTTTAAGCTACCCAGTCTGGGGTACTTTGTTACAACAGCTCTAGGAAATGGTATATCATGGTAGGCAAGCAGTGTTCACTGACTTTATAAAGGAATGAAAATGTCCAAGGAGAACAGTGAGACAGCATCGGGAGACGACAGTGAAAAGCTGGACCAGAGCCTGTTTCTGAGGGATAAACTTGAGAGCTGTCTAGTAATGTGGGCATTTGAAGATGGCAGAATGGAGAGGAAATTGTCTTTGTCCCAACAGTAGTTACTCTAGGATACCTTCAAAAGCTCTGGGACAATGAAAAATTCCAGTCATCAGATGCTTTAATTTATGGGAGCCTGAAACATTTAACATATGCAAGGCTGCCCACCCATCTTTCCATCCTGTCTGTACTCTTCAAACATCGGAGCATTTGATTTGCTAGAACCTGTTAGAGTGGAATTTATTAATAAGCTTCACTGATCTGAGCTAGTTTGATCTCTGGAAACTTTTTAGTAAATCTTTCAAAGATTTACTTGAAAAAAAAAATCTCAGAATTGGTTTGAAAAAAGGGTCCAAAAATTGGAAAATATTTTTTACTAGCTACATCTAATTATCTAATGCTATTTTACTTAGACTTAGAAAACTTAGCATAGATAACTACTTATTCTAGCAATTAGTGACTGTTTACAGTGAGAGATTATGTGTTTCTCTGGAGAAAGTTTGCAAACTGTAGACTGTAGGATGGTTTCTAGTTCTTTATTCCCTACTCTGCACGCTGTAGTTCTCTGTATGTCTGAGTTCAGTTTGCCCACAAACAGGTGTGTGTCCTCAGAGACCCCCGCACTGGTGTGGTTTGCCTTCAGACGAGGAACTGCTGGCATGGGGCCCCTGAGCTCTAGGCCGAAGAAGAGAGGGTGGCTGGGTTTGCCCTGTCCCTGGGTGGCCTAACACTATCGGTTATTTGGTACAGTCCTCATACTTTTTAGCACAACACAATGAATTCAGGACTTTAGGGCTTTTGAGGTATTAAAGCATTTAATATTCTATCTTGTTTCAGAAAGGATTAAGCAGCTTATTAAGCTACAAAAAGTACCATTGGCACAGAGAAGCACTGGTTTGCTCCCTGTGGCTGGCCCTCTGCTGTGTCTCACCCCTGGCAGAGCATCTGCTGCCCTTCCCCACGGCACCACTCTCACCTTGGCACTGCTACTCTCTACTGCTGGGCGTCTCTCTGCTTCCTTTCTCCAAGCTACTTTTTTCTTCTCTCCTTTTTTCTTTAACATCTTTTGTTTTAAACTTTCATATCAGCAGCTTATGTATAGATATCTGACAAACAGTGACAATCCCTCTTTCATCTTGGTAGCAAATTCATATAATCAAATGTAATTTTCAAGTCATATTTTTAAGATTGCTCATTGCTTAGAGATTATTTGCTATTTTTAAAAAAAATTGACTTTCTTGCTGTTGGAAGCAACTGAAAGGCTAATAAGTAAGGTTAATGGGAATAACGGGCCACCTTATTAAGAAGGGAGGGCCCCAAAATTATAACTAAAGGAGTAAGACAAAAGGAAAGAAAAAAAGAGCCTTGAACCCTATTCTAAAAATTTCAAAATCTACTTTTATTGTCCTTAGTTTTCAAAATAATAGCAAATTTCTGAATGCTTGCTCTGTGTCAGGTATTGTGCTAGTACTTTTCATGCATTACTTCTTTTTAATCCTTGCACCAAAACCGAAGGTAAATAATAACTGAATAAGGGTGCAGTAATTCGAGAAATCCTCCTGACCGGGACATTTCTCATGTAATGTATGGAGAAAAGGAAGACTTACTGTATTAAGGTTTTTCTGTTATTTTTAAGGCAGATTGCAAGCGCCTCCATTATTTCACAGCAGCTGGCTATGTCGGGAGTCCCTCCATCTGGGATTGGGTGATGATGAGTGGTAATTCCGTGCTGCTGGTAGAGGTTCAAAAGGTTTGGGACTCTGTATTTTGACAGTTCTCCTCTGGTGCAGAGAACAAATATGTCTTGTATGCCATAGTTCTTTAATTCTTCTGCCAATAGACCAAAATACACAGACACACACAATATGGAGTTACATTTTTCTTTTTTAAAGGAATTATTATTATTCTGAAATATGTTTTTATTGAGTTTTTTGACAGAGAGGTAGGGAGGAGAGGGAAACACAGATCAGTTACCTCTCGCCCCCCCCCCCCCCCCCCCCCCCCCCC